AAATTTAAGGGAATTTTAGTCCAAAACACCGGTAATGTTACAATACCTAAGGGAAGGGAGGTAATGACATTCCCGGTAATATACCCCAAAAAATCTACTATTAGTAATAAAACATTACCGGGAATGAGATTCCCGGCCAACCAAACATGGGAATGTGGGATTCCCATCCCATGGGAATCCCACAATCCTTGAACCAAACACCCCCTAGCACTCTTGAATGAGCTTATGTCTTAGAATCATCCTGAACTTGTCTTCGATCGATACCTACACGATAATACAATTGGTATAAATATCAGAATTCATATCACTATAATTAATACTTACTAACATAAGCTAAACAAAACACTAAATTCACTGTTTCAATCTGAATAATATCGGTACCCAAGGTCCAGTACCGATACTTCTACATTATGGTATCGATATTATACTTCAGTATCGATACCCATTCTCGATTCTGGAATTACATCTCTCAAAATGGTACCGATACTTATACATTAGTATCGATACCCTTGGTATCGATGCCCTTCCTTTTGTATTGTTACTACAATATTGATTCGTACAATTTCACCTTATGGTATCAATATTGTTCTTCCAGTATCGTTACCCAAACCCAGCTCTCACTTATTCTTTCTTTGAAGTATCAGTACTGTTCGTCCAGTACCAGTACCCCTTGCCCAGAACTTATTTCTTTTGTCCCGAAAAATTTCCAAAACTTACTTAACTTCCATTCTTTAACTCCTTTCATGTCATTAAACTCAACTACATATATTAAAACTAACTTATATTACTTTAATATTCCTTAACATCCCAAATCCCACTTCAATACTTGAATCTAAAAATCACACCATATTTTCAAGAACATTCTTAAATGTTTCTAACACTTTAGATTTCTTATTCTATCTTATGACAAGTCAAATATAACTTCAAAATCCATTTATTAACCTTTTCTCACCAATTCACTTAAAAACCTTTTATATTCAATCACCCATAACTTGTAATTCTTTTAGTTTCTACTTCTCTTTAAGCTTTCTTAAGTTTTCCTAACACTCGAACCATCAAAACCACTCAAAATCTACATGAAATAACAAACTTAAAGATCCCTTACCTTAGTTATGGAGTCACGGTGGAGAGGAGGAAGAAATATGAAGAATTTTCTGGGTATCTTTAACTCTTTCTTTCCTTTTCCCACGTGTATATATAATACCCCCACTATGAATTTTAAATTCATTTCCTTATAAAATGAACATTATGCCCTTTCCACTTCCAAACTTTGCTATTAAATCCTACAAAGAAATTCCAAATAAATTCCTAAACTTTTCAATTTATCAAAAATTGATCACAAAGTTTTAAAACCTTACATTTTAGTCACTAGCTTGATTTTTGGGATGTTACATCATCATTTGGAATTTGTTTCCTTATGCAGGTTAGTAGGAGGAGAATTCGAGGAGCCTTTTTGAGCAACCGAGATCCAAACCTAGTGTGAGTATAGTACGTCTCGAGATATCTTATTTAGAGGGCATGTATTATTTGGAGACCCCTTTTTGTATATTCGAGACGTAACTTTCATTAAAACGTTGGTCTTTATATTTTGTTATATTTATTATGGGAGCTCCCTGATGTAAGATTTATTTATACTTTATGGATGAGTTTCTTTATATGAAATGATTTTAAATGGTTGTTTTGATTAATAAATTGAGAAAATTTTGGGTTAGCCACTTTGGTGGTTCCGTGTGGCATTCTAATCGGTCGACAATGTGTCGTACTGGTTTAGGATGTTACAGACAAACTATAAATCAAATTCAAAATCAAGGGTCAAATTGCATTAACAAAAGGTCAAGGGACAAATTACAATATAAAGCCAAAGTCAAGGGCCAAATAGCATGAAAAAAGGCAAGGGGCCAAATTGTAAATCAAATATAAGTCAAGGGCTAAAACATATATTAATCCAATAATAATAAGTAATTTTTTGTCATTGAATATTTGGTATATTAGTAAGACACATTGTATTTCGGGGGGATCATGTTTAAATCCTGGGGATAATATTACAAAAAAGTTAAACAAAGTTCCTAAAATGAATATATAAGATGGAACCTTATATTTAAAATAAAATTTATTATTTTCATTAAAAGATAAAATAATTAAATTATTGTGTTTAACTTCTATAGAAGTTATTCAAAGAGAATATAAAACATGATCTTACTAAGTTTAAATTTATAAATTAGTAAATTTTCATAAACCAATATTTATGTTTTTATCAAACATGTTTATATTCATTACTTAGGGGCTGTTTGTTTACTTCAGAATGATTAAGCGTTGAATGATTCAAATGATGAATGATTCAGAGGCTCTTAATGGTTTGGCTCTGAATGTGACATGTTGTTTGATAACTGGCTCTGAATGATTCAGAATGTACTTCTGTGCTAAATCATTCAGCACTGTTTTGCTGAATCAATCAGCACTGAATCATTCAGAGGTGCGAAACAAACGTGCTGAATGCTGAACGGTTCAACATTCAACACTGAATGGTTCCATTAAGAGGCAAACAAACAGCCCCTTAGGTTTTATGAATATATCAAATAAATTTATGACATAAATTTAATACTTATACTATTCAGAATTCATCAAGTGATTTCAATAGTCAAAGAAACAGTTATTCTTCTCAGAAGCGTTGGTTCGAGCAGCTACATCTGTAAGGTGTATGTATTTTCAATAAATTAAAAAAATTATGAATGGATACTACCTTATAGTCACCATAGACCATTAAAAAATAGTTATACAATTAAGTACTAAAAATTTAATACTTAATTTTTTGTACTTATTTATTTTCATGTTTTTCTTTTACATAAATTAATTTACCAGCTTAATAAATTAAATTTTTTTCATAATTACACGGATCATATTTTATCTTTTGATTAATTTGTGTTGATTATAAGGTAATATTCGTTTATAATTTTTTTAATTAATTGACAATGCACACTTACACTGCTTAAACCCATGATTTTTAAGGAGAACATCAATTCTTTTTACTACTAAGGCTACTTGATGGATTCACATGGATCATAGTTAAACATCAACATTTTTTTTAATTTTAAACAATACACATTAAATAAGGCACCATTTTTTAAACATTATGAGATGTTATAATCTTCTCTATATGTAACCAACTTTTAAACTCTTATTTCTTTTGATTTTCTGTGCCTACTTAGATTTTTTTAATAGTTTAAGATGATTACAAGGTGATATCTGTTCAGAATTTTTCTTAATCGTTGACAACTTATATACTCTGTAGATACAGTTGTTCGAATCTTGGACCTTTAAAGAGAACAACATTACTTTTAATCATTGTCATTTGATGGGTTTTTACATGCCTAAATTTAACTTTTATTATATATGATAAAAAATATTTCGAAAATAAAATCCTAAACACTTCTTTAACCATGCTTCAAATTACTCTTAGATTTATCCACTTAATTCATCACGAATTTTGGTAAAACAAAACCCTTTAAATGAAGATAAATACCATTAATCACTTGCCCATTAAATCATATATAAATTTGTGCAATTGTGTAGCTTTTATAATCGATTAAAAAAATAATATTTAACGTATAAAATATTAACATGTTTAAATTTCTGTAAAATATGATAATTTAATATATTGTTTAGAAGAAATATTATTTTTTAAAAACGACAGCGACTTTAATAATTTTTTAAAATTGAATTAAAATTAAAGTTTCATGTATATAATTGTAAAAAAAATCAAAATTTATGTATCACATTTCATATTTATTGAATTTGCATGTGTAACTTTGATATTTATATAGTACGAACTGACCGACCTCAGTAGTAATGAAATTATTGTTATACCTTAAGGTCTTGAGTTCGAGTACCACGAATGTTAAGGGTATAAACATTCAAAGTCAAATATTTAATAGTTATCTTTAAACAAATATTGTTTTGTAATTACCCTAGATTTATTTTTAAAAATTGGCAAAATCATTATTATTGTATTTTCGAAGTAATAAAACATCCCTCCAACTAGTCAGGTAAGCCATGATCTCCAAGCAAGATTATCGACATACCCAAAAGATCTATCAAGACTCAAATCTTTTGATTAACAAGAACATTTATTTATCCTTTAAGCATATGAACAATAATCATAATTATATTTTTGACTTCAAGATATAAAAGGAATCAATGTATAAACCCCTACAATAATCATAATTATAGTTATTTAATTTTTTAATTTTAAATTTCTTACAAAAATTATAATAATTCTATCATTGTTCATAAAATATTTACTGCATCAAATAATTATTTATTTATGTTTATATAAAATATTTTCATTCATTTACATTATAAATATAGATAGAGACCAAAAGTAGATTGAGAAAGTCTCACGTGTGGCAGCCTTAATATACGATTAAGGAAAGACGCTACTGGTTTTGTAACTATTTTTTAACAAAACTGGTAAAAAATTATCAAAAACATTATTATTTCTACAAGTTTTGTTATTATTTGGCATTTTACCGATTTTGTTAACATATCCAATAAACCACTATCAATTTTATTATTTTTCAACTGATTTTATTATTATTAGACATTTTACCAAAAATGTTAAAAACCATTAATGTCATCAAAAAGGTATAAACGATTAAACTACCCACTCCCAACATTTTTTGTATCTCTCAATGCCACCCTGGCATCCTCTTCACTTTCACCCTCTCCTGATTCCTTAACAGTCTACCTTTTAAACCGGTCACAAGCACGTGCATTTCACCCTCACTCTTATCCGTGACTGAATTGCAACAAATAAAAAGTTAAAGATATGTATTAAATAAAAAAGAAACTAGATACTATTATATTACATTTTCTTTAGTATCTGTTTGTTATTTATAAAAAGTAATTAATTAATTAATTTATTGGTCTTCATTATTATAGTGGTTGTTGTTGTAGTATTTGGGGTTTCGCGCTTTCCTTTTTTTTTCCTTCTCTCATTTCTTTCTTCTAAAAAAAATCAATTTCTTTCTCTGGTTTTTCTTGATTTTTCTCGTTGGTTTTCTTCAAAATTTTCTCAGAGGAAATTATATAGATTGTATCGGATATGAGGATCAGAAAAAGACCGGTTCAACAGCCCTTCTCTTCGATTTCACCTCTTTCATCAGATCCCAACATTAACCGGTCTCCGGTGGTGCAACACCCTCCACGGCGGCAGTCTCCTCCTCCGTCTGATCATCCAAACTACCCGATCCGACGGAAGCAACCGGCCCAGGTCGGTGATTCATCCATTTTCCCCGAAACAACAACAATAAAAGCAAGACATGGAAAGGAGCTGGAGAAGAAAGAAGATGACTTGGTTAGTTCAATGATTCAGAGATTATTTGGTCATTTTTCTATCATAGTTTTAAGGTTTTTATAAAGAGTGCACTTGTGTTTGATGTAATAAAAATAACATCTTGTCTGAAAATTGATTTGCACCCACGAAAGCTTCATATATTAGGTAAAAGTAAATATAAATTTATATAAATTTATCCTTTGTATTTTGAACTTCTTCTTGTAGGTTTTGAAGCAAGGAGTAGAGGAGGAGAAGGGAGAAAATGGGGAGGAGGAGAGCAATTATACTACCAGGTAAGAAAGCCAGCCAATGTTCTTTTTCTTACTTCATCAACACTTGTAGTAAAAAACTGAAAAGGTTAAAAAGAAAGTTCGATTAATAAAAAGATTAAATATAATACAAAGTGCAAATACTGTTTTTTTTATTAGGTTATTTTTATACCAACTTTGGCTATCCACCATATAACTTCCCATCTAATCTTAGTCTTAACTCTCTTCTTTTTCTTTCTATGTGGTGCACTTTGGCATGGTCCCCATTTCGACCAATATCTGGCCATGGATTTTCTGGGTTTGTATTTTATAGGAAGAAAAGTATTCTTGGTGAGGGACTAGGAACCGAGTCTCTATTCCATCAAGGTAAGAAAATATATTATCTGCAAAATCAAATCGAATTGTAATATTTTCATATAGTTTTGATTATTGGAGGGTGTTGCACTCGTTCTTTTTTGAGTGTAGGAGACAAGGCGTTTCCATTGAAGAAGAAAAGAGGGAGCTCCGAAAGAACAGCACAGAAAGATAACGATAATGATAATGATAATAAGAGTGGGAAGAAGAGAGGTCGAAACGGTGCGTTAATGGAAGGTTCAAGGTGCAGTCGAGTTAATGGAAGGGGATGGCGGTGCTGCCAACAAACACTCGTCGGATACTCGCTCTGCGAGCACCATTTGGGGAAAGGGAAGCTGAGGGGTATTACCGGTGTTAAAAGCCGACCGAATGATATTAATGCAGCGAAGGAGGGGGATCGGAAGCCACCATTGTCGAAACAAGGAAGTGATGAGAAGCCATCGATGAAGCTGGGGATGGTTAAAGCTCGATCGATGAGCAGTCTGCTAGGACAAAACGACGGTGGAATTGCAGTTCATGATCGTGATAATTAAAACTGTTTCAAGATTTTCGTTTTTTTAGATGTTTGAGATTCTCGATATAGCGATGCTTTGTGTTGTTTTTTAGTGATGTTATGGATGATGGGATTAATGTTGATTGAAACTGGATGGAATAATTTTCTAGTTGATTAAGTGGAAAATACGTGTATGTAAGGGAGACCCCCACCCGAGACCTAAGCTTACATAATTATTGTTTTTCTTTTGACTAAGGAAAATGCATCTATTCGAATTTTAAATCTCCAAAATAATAATATTTTTTAGTCATTAAAATTATTTAATATATATATTATTTTAAAATTTAAATTTTAACCATTCTATTTTATTTTATGAATTTGAATTCATGTATTATTTTAATTTAATAATTTTATTTTGTTAGTTTGGTAACTATAAAAAATAAAATATTTCTTTGATCTTTCATATTAATAGTTTTTATCAGTTTAACTTGCCATACTTAAAAATATAAAAAAAAATATTAATTGAACATTGTTATTCTTAGTCATTTTTGTTAACAGTTTTAAAGGGCCAAATTGATAACAACTATAAACAGAAAGTATTAAAAGAATACTTTAACTTTTATACTTGCCAAGTCAGCAATTAGTGTAGCATTGGAGAAAAAAAATTAAAGGAGACCTAAATTTGGAAATAAAAACAGAACTCAATTTCATAAGAAAATAAAATATAAAGACTAAATTTTAAAGTTTGAAATAGTACAAGGTTCCATCAAATCATGTCCTAAAAATTTTTAATATAACTTCTTAAGTTCGTATTTCCTAACGAGAGTTTCTGCGTCCGTCCGTGTAGATCACCATATTATAACTTATCAAAGTTTAATAATTTAATTTGATAAAATTAAAGTTGATGTTAACTTTAATGATTTACAATGTAAATTATCTTATACATATTTTTGTCACTTTTTAGTCTATGTTTATATGTATATTTGTTAAAAAGTAAATAAAATAAGCTAATTATCAATCGATGGTTTCTTCGGTAATGTTTAAAGTTTGAATTCTCATATTATGTATGAATAGAGAAAATTGAACTGGAAAAGTTGTCCATAATATATTTATGTATAATTAGGTCCATATTAGTCGATTAACAAATCAGATATCCGTGCTTATTATAAAAAGAGTTAATTCCATCATACGTTTCCAAACTCTGACACTCATTTTAAATTGGTCTTTAAATTTTTAAATATTTCAATTTCATCCCCAAACTATGAATCCCATTCTAAACTGGTTCCTAAACTTTTGGATCTTCCACTTTCATCCCCAAATTCATCCAAATATGTAATCGATTTCAACCATAGTTTAACCTAATTTTTTTCAAACACATAATAATATAACTTGGACTAATGATTTTATTAACAAGGGATGTGATTAGTATATACATATAATTTAGGATACAATTGAAACATTCAAAAAGTTTGGGGACCAATTTAGAATGAAGATCACAATTTGGGGATGAAAATGAAATGTTCAAAAGTTTAAGGACTAATTTAGAGTGATAGCCATAGTTTAGAGATAAAATTAAAATGTTAAAAAGTTTAGGGACCAATTTGAAATAAAGGTCATAAATTGGGGGCACGTGATACAATTATCTCTATGAAAAATAAAATAAAAAACTAAAATATACTAAGAGGATAATATAGTAAAATATATATAGTCTCGTACTGTAAACCAAATATCACGATATAATATTATCTGTAATGTATCAAATAATTTTATAATCTTATAACTATATTTTAAAAGATAAATTTTTATTTTGCTAATCAAAATCACCTTAATAACTTATTTGTTAAAACTTGAACATAATTTCATATTTAAATTAAGTATATAAATGAGAGAATTAAAGTATAATATGACATGATTATTATCAAATATATAATAGTGAATTTACAAATAAGTTAAAATGGTAACAAATATTTTTAAATATAAATAAATAACATTTGATATCGTCTTAACTCTGTTTAAATTTGCACGAATTAACATATTTTAGTGGTTAAAGGAATCGTTGTTGTTCTTAGAGGTCGTGGGTACGAGCACGAGCGTTTGTCTTAGGGCAATTGAGTATTTATTATCAAATGATTGAGAGTATTTAGAGCATATATCACTTTGTAATTATCTTAATAAAAAAACTCAGATTTATTAAGTGATTGTGTTATATTAATGAATAGGAGTAAATTAAAACATATAAAAACGAAAAGGAAAAAGAAGAAGAAAAAATTTCGTTCAAATCCGTTAAATTTACGAAAAAAATGTCAGTCAACAATCAACGCAGAGGGAACCAGGCAACCAGCTGTTTACTCCAAGATTGTGGGGGGAAATAGGGGCCGCAGATGGGGGAAGAAAACGGGAAACGGGCGTCCAAGATCTGACGAAATCGTATTTGAGAAATTCGCCTTCTTTAAAACAAAGATCGCGGGTACGTTAACCGCATTATTCTGCGAAGCTCAACGGTCCGTTAAAACTGCAACAGAAAGAATCGCTTCATAATTTTTGAATTCAGATTTTTTGTTTCTATAAAGTTTTTGGCATTAATTTGATCAGATTTCGATGCTCAGATCTTCAACTTCAGAATCTTTTTAATGTAAACTTGTCGAAATTTTCAACTAATCTTGCGTTTCATTATTGATGATTCTGGCATTCTGCTGCATTAACATTTTTCGGAATTTGAAATTTTATCCTCCAGTTATCTGATTCTTTGAAAAAAGAAACTGACATTTACTGTTGAATCGATCATTTGCATTTCTCAGTTTGAAGTTCATTTGCAATTGTTGTCACATATAGATTGCGGTGATGAATATATTAGATTATGATATGAGATCATTTTTACTATAATAGATGTTTATTGTTTTTTCTTTTTGGTATTTGGCATCGTATGATACAGCGATAAAAAATGGCAGATGGTGAAGATATCCAGCCACTTGTTTGTGACAATGGGACTGGAATGGTGAAGGTAAACATTCATCAGATCTCCGTTTCTCGGTATTATTTGTAAATGATATTTGTTATAATTTGATTTAATATTCATTATCTTAATCTCTTTTTATTTGTTTTGATTCTAGTATTTCCGAGAATTGATTTTATTGATCGGTGCTCTAGATCGATGCTGATTCATGTTTAAACATTTCAGGCCGGGTTTGCCGGAGATGATGCTCCAAGAGCAGTGTTCCCCAGCATTGTAGGTCGCCCTCGGCATACAGGTGTGATGGTCGGCATGGGCCAAAAGGATGCTTATGTGGGAGACGAAGCTCAATCCAAAAGAGGTATTTTGACGTTGAAGTACCCAATTGAGCATGGTATCGTTAACAATTGGGATGATATGGAGAAAATCTGGCATCATACATTCTATAATGAGCTTCGAGTTGCCCCCGAGGAACATCCAATTCTCCTCACGGAAGCTCCTCTCAACCCCAAGGCTAATCGTGAGAAAATGACTCAAATCATGTTTGAAACATTCAATGCCCCCGCAATGTATGTCGCTATCCAGGCCGTTCTTTCCCTGTACGCCAGCGGTCGGACAACAGGTTGGCACATTCGTTTGCCAATTATCTGCTTCTTCGTTGTTCAACAATATATTGATATGATGATAGGTCTCATGTTCCTACGAAGGTTAATTGAAATCCAATGGCATATGTGATTGGAAATGTTCTTTTCCAAGATAATGTTGGATAACAGTTTGTGCACATGAATGTCAGGGTCTTGAATTTCCTGTCTTGATAAACACAAATGAATTATCTCTAAGCAAGTAGCAACCCTTTATGAAGGCTAACATGCAAGGTTAATGTATAGGTATTGTTCTGGACTCTGGAGATGGTGTGAGCCACACAGTTCCCATCTATGAAGGCTATGCTCTCCCACATGCCATCTTGCGACTCGACCTAGCCGGTCGTGATCTCACTGATGCACTCATGAAAATCTTAACGGAGCGTGGTTACTCTTTCACGACGACTGCGGAGCGTGAAATCGTGAGGGATATAAAAGAGAAGTTAGCTTACATTGCTCTTGACTTCGAACAAGAGCTCGAGACAGCGAAAACCAGCTCCTCTGTGGAGAAAAACTATGAGCTACCCGATGGACAGGTTATCACCATCGGGGCAGAACGTTTCCGCTGTCCCGAAGTCCTCTTCCAGCCATCCATGATCGGGATGGAAGCCGCCGGCATTCATGAAACCACATACAACTCAATCATGAAGTGTGACGTGGATATCCGAAAGGATCTGTATGGAAATATTGTCCTCAGCGGTGGCACCACTATGTTCCCCGGAATTGCCGATAGGATGAGCAAGGAAATCACGGCATTAGCTCCAAGCAGTATGAAGATTAAAGTGGTTGCACCACCGGAGAGGAAGTATAGCGTTTGGATTGGTGGCTCCATTTTGGCATCCCTCAGCACCTTCCAGCAGGTATTCTCTCTCTTTTCCTTTGTTCTTTCTTTTTCCTAATGCGATCATGAGAATAACAATATAATCCTTTAAGAAACTTCAAAATATATAAAAAAAAACTAAGAAAATGAAAATAATTATATTAATGCAAGTAACATAGGATACTCTGTTTGCAGATGTGGATTGCAAAGGCAGAGTACGATGAATCTGGGCCATCAATTGTCCACAGGAAATGCTTCTAGTCCTGCGAAAAGCAAAAGATTGGATGATCTACGGTGCACATTTTCGCATCAAAGCAATGCTAATAAACTAAGTGGCTTGCTGTTTTATCTTTTCATTCCCCCCCCCTTCGATTACCTCTTTTCCCCCTTCAAATCATTTGGATTTGTTAGTGGAAATTTCCCAATCCAATAATTTCATATTATTCATTCATATTGTTTTATATCCGAATTATTTTTTGACTGTCAATTTTTTTAATTTAACAAATATAATTCAAAAACTCAACCATCAATATACCAAATAATACTAATTCATTCATTTTCTCCTTTACCTTTATATATTCGTAAGATATTAAAGTAATAGATTATAAAAAGTTTAGGTGGTCCAATGCACCCATTACCATATCTTTGCCTTTTGACCTCTAAAAAAATATGTAAATAATTTGGAATAAAATAACGTCTTTAACAATTTGGAAAACAAGTCATTCTCAACTGTGAGATATTTAAAATTGAGACATTAAGATAAGTAGTTTGTTTTTAGGGTATCACCCAATTATAAGATCGATTTTATTTTGATTATCGAATAAAAATGATCAATTGGATCATTATTTTTTATTAAATTGACTTTAATCAAATTATTTTATGTGAACTGCTAAAATAATTATTTAATTAAAAAATAATTCAATAAATTTTATCCTAATTTTTATGCGAACATATTTGGTTTTTTTATTATTTACACATTGCATCAATTTACTCCTAGTTTTAATTAAAAAATAACTTGATAAATTTAATCAGTCAATAATAAATTTATTTTTATTTTAAAAAATATCTTGCATTAACTACACTTTAGCTCATATATAAAATTTACCAATCGTGAACTAAATATTGAATTTAGTTGTCAAATTCATTCATCATAGTCGTTCTCTTTTTTCTTAAAAGTTTGTGTCGTTTTCTATAGATCATATAAATTTTTTCTTTTTCAATTTTGTTTAGCCGACGGCGGTATTGATTTTTATGCTAGTTGTCGACCATCGGTTCTCTTTTCTCTTTGCTTTTTTTAAATCTTTTAAATAAGAATAAGGGTAAATTACCCATTTAGGACCTAAACTATCAGTTTTAATTCGTTTGGTACCTAAACTTTCAATTTTTTAAAATCATATCTAACATTTTGTTTTTATTTCATTTTAGTACCCCTGTCTTTAAAAACTTAACGGACGGGCTGACGGGGTATAGCCCTAGTGGACGGATGAACAATTTGGACGGTGGACCACGAGAGAATGAAGAGTTGACCAACATAGTCCAATTTCAAGTACATTAGACAGTTGACGGCATAGATTGAAGGATGAAGAAGTTGAATAGCCCATCATCAATTTGAGGAGATTTAGACATTTTTCGGTGAAACGGGGCCATAATCACGTTTAGGGGGTCGAAAAGGTGCGGACTAGAAAGTTTGGACTTCATCGATCGACAAATGTGATAGTTAACGACTGTAGATGCGATAGTCAGTGAGTCAATGTGTTAAGTTTTTAACGATGATGTACTGAAATATAACAAAAAATAAACGTTAGGCGTCGTTTTAAAAAAAATGAAAGTTTAGGTACTAAAATGGGAAATTGATAGTTTAGGCACTAAACGCATAATTTACCCTAAGAATAATTCTGTCTTTGTGGCACATTTTCGTCTTCTTTCTCAGTCGCTTGGTCATTCTTTTTTATTTTATGTTTTCTCATGATTGGATTAGACGACTCCACGATTGTTCAAGATGTCGCTTATTTGTAATCTTATTGATCTTTCCTGCTATGAACTCTCGGATTGAATTTGGATACATGATTTTGCATTCGTGGATAATTTCTCATGATGTTAGCTCTGATTTGTGATTTTTCGGTGGTCTTTCAATAGATTAATCTCATTCTGTCTTTCTTTTATCAATTTAGTTAGATTTGTTTGTATCTATTTTTTGCTCGAGTCTTTTGGTTAGGTTTTTAACCTTTTCCACGTATAATCCTCATATGATCTAAAGTGACTAGTTTCAATGTTTAAAAAATGTTCAAATTATGTATTTAGTTTATGATGATAGTTGTAAACCCTTATTAGAATTTTGAATATTTTCACTTTTTTTAATAAGAATATTTTCACTTTTTTTAATAAGAATAACGGCTAGACACACTTACACTATTAAGACCCATGTTTGGGTTCCCCCATTACCATTCTATTTCTTTTATTTTCCTTTAACACGAAGGTGACATGGGTAATCATCTTGTTGGATGATTAGATTTAAATTATTTTAATTAAATTAGAATTGAATTGGTAAAATATGTAAGTGATTAGAATAAAATATGTTAGTATTATACAAATTTGGTTAGTTGGCATATCAATAATTTCATTAATAATTAACGACCAGTGACTTAATTAAAAACAATGTAATAGTTTAGTGATCTAATTGAAAAAAATTCAATGATCAAATATATTCGATCTCATGGTTTAGTGACCTTAAGAGTAATTTTCCATGTTTATTGTCCCTTTCAAACAATATTGTACATTTTATGATTCTAAGAATGTGGTTGGAAGATTATTTATTTTTCTTACTTATTTATGAAATCACAATGCAAATCTAAACTAACCTTCACAGAAAAATTTTTAGTATCAGATGCCTGCTTTACATATGATGATTTAGAGACTCCCTCAACAAAACATAGGCTCCTCACACTTGGTGGAGCTTTGGCTGAACTTGGACTAGCATCAGTCATAGCAACATCCTGGTCGGATCCACTAGAAGGACCATTTTCATTTGCAGAAGCTTTTTCGGTAACACATTCCAAAGAAGAAGCTATAGTTTGCATAAGCCAATCATGAACTTGGGATGCTGGAACAGGTACAGCCGGCATGTCTGGATCTGAATTAGCAAAAAAGGGATAAGCTTGGCTTAAAGGAACTCCTTCAGATACCTTATCATCAAATTGAATCAGGAAACCAAGATGCTCAAACCCTTCATGGTTAAAACCTGAAGGAACAGTAGATAGATGAGCAAACCAAGTCATAGAACTACTTACAAACACGTAAAAAGAATGGAAATAGAGTAAGAGAAATGCAAAAACGAGAAAGATCGATCACGAATACATGGAAAGAAAGTTACGACAGCCTGTCTGAAAACAAAAAGGAACTGAGCAAAGAATTAAGAGAATACAACAAAGCAAAACATTACAAAATGTTAGGGCATAAGAAAGTAATGTATGTTGTGAAAGGTGGAGAAAATGGGAACAGAAAGATTCAAAAAGCTCCAGCTTGTATTCTGATCATTATACAAGGTCACAAACCAATCCAGGCTAAAGTCATTGATTAATTACAGAAAAACTGGAAAGGAATTCGTTTTTCCTCTTTTGGTCGAATTCGCTCATATTTCAGAGATATTCATAAATGCTTCGATTTGCATTCTAAACATTTTACAAGGAGAATCATGTTAAATTCAGTAATTAATTGAATAATGTTTTGTGTAATTGGGTAATTACAAAAAAAAAAAAAAACAACTACCCCTAAAACAAACCATTTTTAAAGCAAACCATTCCTAAAGCAATGAAACCAACACATAAAGAGATAGCCTGAACTACGAGTGTAGACACCCATTTTTGTCGGGATCTTAAAAAATATTAATTATTATTATTATTATTATTATTATTATTTACATATTTTACATTTATTCTTGCAGGCCCTCACCCTAAGCCCAGATTACAACAGCAACCCACCATTACAAGCCCAACACCAAGTCAAACCAATTACAAGACCCGACCCAGGATCCATATCCGATCCAGACTCGATCCATACCCGATCCATACTCGGCGCATGCCCAACACAGATTACCAAGCACTCGACCCAACAAGAGAACCCAACCCTAAACTCTTTAGGGTTTCCTCTCACCAGCTCAACTATCGCAGCCAGTGACCTTTCAGCTCCCAGCCGGCGCGTGTACCTCACCGCCCTACTCCCCAGCCGCGTGAGCCGCCGTCGATTACTTTATGGGCTGCCAGTCATCGATCAATCCATCAAACAGTGGCAAAAATCATACCAATAGTCAGGAAAAAACAAATCACAGTTCTCATCAAATCCAAAACCCTCCCGAGGCAATATGGCTGTCAATCCAACAAATCTTATCATCTACCCAAGGAAAGCAAGGATAAAAAAATAAAGAAGCAAGATATTAAAGGGGGAACCATTCGTAACAAAAATAGGGAGAACCGGAGAGATCTTTTGGAAAAAAAAAGAAACAAAAAGGAAAAAAACAAAGAAAATCCCTTCGAAAAAAGAGAAACCGAAAGGTAAGAACCTAGAAAACTCACCTTTTACCCAGATCTTGTAGTCGTGGCCTCACCGGAGTTCGAAGAACCCATCACGAAGGTAAAAAACCTTCTCTAGTCCTAGATCTAGGGCTCTAGGGGAGGTTTTAAGTTGGGAAAGGTTAGAAATCGGGTTGAGGGAGATTAGAGGGGCGTTTTAGGAGTTTTTTTACACCCCGTGGACCGTCGTGGGTCATCGTAGAACGGAGCCGGTGAACGACAGCCTCCTTCCCGCGATGAGAGGAAGTTGAGAGAGTACTAAATCTCTCTGTTTTCTGAAACGAAGCAAATGAGAGAAATGAGAGAAGAAGCTTCGGTTTTAGGCTTACCCAAGATGGGGTGATGCTATATTTTCGCGCGTGGGATAATCACACTTTGGTACCTCCGCCTTTGTAATTTCATTTTTCAGCCATTTAATGAAGTTTTACCTTATTTTATTTCGAGCATTAATGTTTCAATATTTGTATTTTAGTCATGTTCTTACTTATTCTGTTATTCTGTTATTCTGGTCAATGTTTGAATTGGTCATGATATTTGTAATTATTTCAATTTAGTCACTGCGTTGCATATTGTTATATTTAGGTTTAATTGTTATTTTCATTTTCATGTTTTTGGTTGAGCTTATTTTGGTCCCTAATATTATTTTTGGGTTATTTTCATTTCTGGTGCCCATATTATTTACTGTATTTGATTGTGGATCTGGTTTATTTATATTTCTTTTCAGTCCTTTAAATTTCTGTTAGTACTTTTTTGTTCCCTTAAATAGAATATGATTATTTTTTATATTATTTGTATATTGATTTGTAATATTTTATTTTATTCTAGTCCTTCATTCACATGTATATTTTGTACATTACGACTCTATGTATTAATTTATATAGACGTTATTTGCTTTATGTGTTGTAAATATTTATTTTACATTTACAATCATATTTGTTTCTACCTTATTTCCTTATCTATTGATATGTTATCTGAATAATTTCAAGAACCGATTTGTAGAATGAGTGTGGAAAGTATCACTTGGTCGAAGTAATGCGATCCGATACGACATTTAAACGAAATGGAAACTTGAAATAAATCTCGTTTATTTTACTAATTAAATCTTCTTTTATTATTCAAATAATGCATTGCATTTTTTAAATGGTAATTTATGTTATTTTACGCAAATTTTGGTTTTTAGTTTATATTCGATACACATTTTTCTCGAGGAGGGAATATTCTTTACGAAAAAGAAATAGGTGAGATAGCTTTCCTGATGGAGGATTTCTAATCTCGAGATTTCTTTTCAAGTTAAAGAATTTGCTCTAATTAAACAATTCGAAGAAAATTAATTAAACTTTAATAAATTGATCATATGTTAATTTTATATTTAATTCATAATTTCTATCATTACGACAACATGTAAGCGACTAAGTACTAATTTTAGGCGTTGTAGGATGATAATTCTTCCCCACACATAATCAACTCCTGGACTTGTAAAATTGAATTTTTGGTAAACGCATACTAATTTTTGTCTTAAAACGATTTTTCTTAAAAATTGTTTTAAAAGACATTTTTAGGTATTCGACCTACCTATCCCAAAGGCTGATGGCGACTCCCTTTCCATTTAATTCAAATCAATTTAAAACCACCAATTTTTCAAATAAAGTCATAACTATTTTTTAAAAATTTAATTGTTTTTTTTAAAAATGGTTATGACAGCTTGACGACATTACTGAGGACTTTTTTAGAGAGTCAAGTTGTAAGTCGCTTACACATTGTCGTTGTCGTGGAAATTATGAGTTCGAGTCTTTAGTTAACTTATGATCCATTTATCGAAGTTTTTTATTTTTAATTATCATACTAACATTTTAATTTTTGCTTTCAGCTCTATCCAAGTTTTTATTGAAAGTTTGTACTTTTTTCCTTTTGAGTCAAAGGTTGGTATGTTCCTCCTCACACGCATCTTGTGCATTTGCATACATAAGCTCTAGACCCGAGCTTTGATCCAAATAAGTTGGGGTGAATACTTTACTCTCGTAAGAATTTATTCTTCGTATGAGTTTTAGCAAATAACCCATGGGATACTTACCTTATACCTTCGTAGGGATTTATTTCTCGTATGGGTATAAGGTAGTGAATCCCCTCGAAATGAGCTTGTTCCGTTCGAAACCTGTAATAGGTGAGGATCGAGGGTTTGACAGCCTAAGAGGGCACCGACATCAAGGACAATTCGAGTACTCTTTTCCTGTTAGAGCCGAAATCATGTATATAGTGAACTGTAGAACGGTCACACTAGGTATAGTCGTACCGAAACTTTATCCGTCAGTAGGTACCCAAATTACGTGTACACAAAAGAGGAGCGTGTTTGAACATTTCCTTTTTGCTTTAAATAAAAGCATGCGAACTATATACCATGCGGTTAGGATTATTTTCTTAAAAATAATCATTTTGGATAAAAAACATGTAGGATTGCTATCTAACGAGAGCATGCTTAGGTAGATACCATGATTGGTAGGTGTTGTATTTATTTTAAATATAATCTTTTACTTTTATTGATTATCTTGTCCGCACTAACTTATTTATTTTCTTTTCTTTGTGTCATTTTTTGTCCTTTTTGCATTGAATTTCATCAACATAACATAATGCGAAAGTGTTGATCCGCAAGGGGATATTCGAGAGAAAATTTTCACAAGAAGAGGTAAAAGTTTTTAATTAAGCAGTCGCATACACAGGCATGTACCGAGGGCTAAAAGAAGTTCAGAGAGTATAAGAATAAAACTTGCTTCAAGATCATACAACATTCGAGACTGGAAAGATGATCCATTGATCCGATGAGTAATCCGACAAAAGAGTTTTATTTACTATCATTTCATCGCTAGTCATCAAGGAGCGACGCACAGACTTCATCACCGTCAGGGCATTAACGAAGTTAGGTTACAAAACGCTTGAGAGGCAACATTTTCAATGACAAAGATCCGAGACGAAGCAATGATCCAGTTCAGACTCAACATCTAAGCGAAAGCATGTCTGTAAAATTGATTATCTTGTAATGTGAAGGCTTTTATTTTTGGTGAAAATTATTCTATGATATTCACCATTGGGATAAACATTTTGCATCATTGCATTCTGCATGACATTCATTTAAGCATTTTTACATGCATTAATCATGGATTCATGTGTTTATCTCGTGGATGACTCTGAGGAAGTGTTTCTAATTGTGTAACTTCGTTAACACAGTACTAAGAATGAAAGCAAAATTTGAAAAACTGAAGAAAGACTTGGAAGAGAATTTGCAAAGGATGCAAACAGAGTGGGAAGTTAAAATGGAGCAAGAGAAAAAGGCCACCGTGGATCGTATCTTGCAAAACCAAGACGACCTAGTCGACCAAATTGTAGCAAAAGTGGCTGGGCTTAACCAAAAAGAGGCAAAGAGAAGGTTTCTCGACCCGTGAAACCTCTGAATGTGTTAGTGCACATACAAATCCACAAATGCTCATTTCTCCCGACAGGATTCCAAGACACCAAGTAGGCTTCTTCACCCCTAAAACCCATACAACTATGTTAGGTCCTCGGGATCATTCTACTGATCACAACATGTCAAATTCTGATGAGATGAAAGAGCCAAGAATGAGATCTCTGAGAACTTAAAACAGTGGTGCAGAGAGACATTCAAAGGAATTAGAGGACAAAA